CGGGCAAGCGCCTGACGCTGCAAGCACGTCAGACCCGCCCTTTCACCCAGAAGAGGAGCCCGTTACAGACTGGCAATGAGGCAGCCGCAAGGACGCTCTTCCCAAGATGGTTGAGCCGTGGTGATGTGGTGCACGAGACCGCCAGTAGTAGTAGTAGTAGTAGTAGTAGTAGTAGTAGTAGTAGTCGTAGTAGTCGTAGTAGTAGCAGTAGTAGTAGCAGCAGTAGCCGTATTAGAAGCCGTAGTCGTCGTAGTCGTAGTCATGGTAGTAGTGATTATTAGTAATCGTAGTGGTAGTGGTAGTAGTAGTAGTAGTAGTAGTAGTACTGGTGGTGGTAGTAGCGGTGGTAGCCGTAGTAGTAGTAGTCGTAGTAGTAGTAGTAGTAGTCGTCGTAGTAGTAATAGTAGTAGTAGTAGTAGCAGTAGTAGTAGTAGTAGTAGTGGCAGTAGTAGTAGTAGTCGTAGTAGTAGTTGTAGTAGTAGTTTTAGTAGTAGCAGTAGCAGAAACAGCAGCAGCATCAGCAGCAGTAGTAGTAGTAGTAGTCGTAGTAGTCGTAGTAGTCGAAGTAGTCGTAGTAGGAGTAGTAGTTTTAGTAGTAGCAGTAGTAGTAGTAGTAGTAGTAGTAGTAGTAGTAGTAGTAGTAGTAGTAGTCGTAGTAGTACTAGTAGTAGTGGTGGTGGTGTGGTGGTGGTGGTGGCGGTGGTGGTCGTAGTAGTGGTGGTGGTGGTAGTCGTAGTGGTAGTGGTGGCGGCTGTGGTAGTCGTAGTTGTGGTGGTAGTAGTTGTCGTACTAGTCGTAATAGTAGTAGTAGAAGTAGTAGTAGTAGTAGCAGTAGTAGTAGTAGTAGTAGTAGTAGTAGTAGTAGTAGTACCCATGTCGTAGTAGTTGTGAGTAGTAGTAGTAGTAGTAGTAGTAGTAGTAGTAGTGTAAAAGCTCGGCAGCAAGCAGTATTAGTAGTAGTGGTAGTAGTAGTTTAGTTAGTAGTAGTAGTAGTAGTAGTAGTAGTAGTCGTATGATAGTAGTACATAGTATTAGTTAGGAATGTTACTAATAGTAGTATAGTAGTATCATTAGTATCATTATTAGTCGTAGACGTTAGCAGGAGTAGTCGCAACCGTAGTTGTAGCAGTCGTAATTCGTATTGTAGTCGTGGTAGTAGTGGTAGTAGTAGTAGTAGTAGTAGTAGTTAATTCGTAGTAGTAGAGTAGTAGTCGTCGGAGTTTACTAGTATTAGTATTAGGCTAGTAGTAGTGTTCGTAGTCGTTAGTAGTAGTAGCGCCCGTGCTCGTCCATAGTAGTCGTTGTTCGTCTAGTAGTCGTTGTCGTCGTCGTCGTCGTTCGTCGTAGTAGTAGTAGTAGGCGTAGTCGTAGTAGTAGTGTTAGTAGTCGTTAGTGTAGTTAGTAGTAGTAGTAGTAGTAGTAGTAGTTGTGTAGGTAGCGTAGTAGTAGTTGTAGTGTGATAGTAGTAGTAGTAGTAGTAGTAGTTAGTAATAGTAGTTATTAGTAGTAGTAGTCGTAGTAGTACTAGTGGTACGTTAGTGTGTCGTAGTGCGTAGTAGTACTAGTAGTTGTAATCGTAGTAGTCGTTTAGTAGTAGTAGTAGTAGTTGAGTAGTAGTAGTTCGTAGTTGGTAGTAGTGAGTAGTAGTAGTAAGTAGTAGTAGTAGTTAGTTGTTGTATTTTGTAGTAGTTAGTTGTAGTGTTGTAGTGTAGTAGTAGTGTAGTCGTAGGTGTAGTAGTAGTTGTTTAAGGGGGTTTTTTTTTTTTTAAGTTTAGTAGTAGTAGTATAAGTATAAGTAGTAGTAGTAGAAGAAGAAAACGTCGTGCTTTTTCGAATCCTAAGTAGGACTCTTTGTTTTCTCGGGGCACCCCGAACATGAACAGGAACATTAACTCTCCCATTGCATCATGATCACCATCCGCATCATCATCATCATCGCCCCCTTCTCTTCGTCAGCCACACACACTCGCAATTCCACACTAGTCATCATTAGCATCAACATCATCATGTACATGATATCCCAGTGTCCTTCACTCACGCACTTACACCCACTCATCATCATCATCACCATCATTTTCGACATCACTCCCACACATTCGCACTCACACGCAAGCGCACTAACACACTCACACAGACACACATTCACATACCCATCTTGAAGAAGCCTGAAGCGGGTGCCTCGCCTGTGAGTGAGTTGTGAGGAGGTCTCAGGTACGGTCCCCTATCCTTATGGGTCCCACAGACCATGTTAGCAATCCGAGCGGGTCATCGGACACCTGAAACTATCGTCATTTCTGGGCCTCTGAGGCCTGAATATGGGGGAAGTCTCAGGCGGGAGCCTCGTCTGTGAGTGAATTGCGAGAGTGTCTCAGACGGTCACTTTTGGGCCCCTCACGCCTGTATCTTGAAGAAGCCTCAGGCGGGAGCCTCGTTCGTCAGTGAATTGCGTGGAAGTCTCAGGCGGGAGCCCCCTCCCTATTGGGCCCGCGCTTCATGTTGATAATCCGAGCGGGTCGTCCAAATACTGTAGCTGTCGTTCTGGGCCCCACACGTCAGAATGTTGAAGAAACGTCAGGCGGGAACCTCGTTTGTGAGTGAATTGCGACAAACTCTCAGGCGGGAGTCCCCTCCCTATGGGGCCCGCACTTCATGTTGGTAATCCGAACGGTATCCAAATTCTTTACGCTTCGCGTATCCCCACCAGCCCATCTCAAAACAGCAACTCTTGCGAAGCATGCCGACAGTCGTTTTTTTCAGGCGTGTTTCCGCCTGCCCCCGCATATCTCCCCTGTTCCTCCTTCCTCCCGCCTCCTTGTACATCTTCCTTGTGGTGGGAGCGGGAGAAGGACGAGGCGGAGGAGGAGGGAGAGAAAACGCTCCTCGTGGTTTGAGTCGTTTGGGGTTTCTCGTCCTGGTGTGAGTCGTTCGGGCCCTTTTTCCTGGTGTGAGTCGTTCGGGCTCTTCGTGGTGTGAGTCGTTCGGGCTCTTCGTCCTGGTGTGAGTCGTTCGGGCTTCTCGTGGTGTGAGTTGTTCGGGCCCCTCGTCCTGGTGTGAGTCGTTCGGGCCCCTCCTCCTGGTGTGACTCGTCGGGCTCCTCGTGGTGAGTCGTTCGGGCCCCGTCGTGGTGTGAGTCGTTCGGGCTCCTCGTGGTGTGAGTCGTTCGGGCCGTCCTGGTGGAGTCGTTCGGGCCCCTCCTTGTGGTGTGAGTCGTTCGGGCTCTTCGTGGTGTGAGTCGTTCGGGCCCCTCGTCCTGGTGTGAGTCGTTCGGGCTCCTCGTGGCGTGAGGCGTTCGGGCACCTCGTCCCCTTTTGGGGCGTCTTGGGGGCCTCTTGGCGGCCCCAGGGGCTTCTAGGAGCGTCTTGGGTGCCTTGGGGGAGCCTCTTCGGGCCTCTTGGGAGCCTCTTGGAGGCCGTTTGGGGCGTCTTGGGGGCCTCTTGGCGGCCCCAGGGGCTTCCAGGAGCGTCTTGGGTGCCTCGGGGGAGCCTCTTGGGGCCTCTTGGGGGCCTCTTGGGGGCATCTTGGGGGCCTCTCTTGGGGGCCTCTTGGAGGCCTCTTGGGGGCCTCCTGGGGGCCTCTTGGGGCCATCTTGGGGCCTCTTGGTGCCTCCTGGGCGCTTCTTGGGGCCATCGTGGAGGGGATAGATCAAAGAAGAGGGGAGCTTCAATGAGCGCTGCCCCCTCAGAAGGGCAAAGTGAGCCCAAACCCTTAGTAAAATCAATGATTTTGCCTTGAAGGAAGAGGGGAGCTGTAATGAGCGCTGCCCCCTCAGGAGGCCAAAATGGGGCCAAAACCGTAGTAACATCAATGATTTTGGCTTCAAAGAAGAGGAGAGCATTTTTTCTGGTCCCCCCCGTCGGGGCCAGAATCCTCGTGAGGGGTGTAGTTTTTTAGCCCTCCCAGGAGTCGAAAAGGACCCCCCTGACCACCCGCGAAAGGACCTCTCCAGGCCCAGGGGGAGGGGGTAGGGGGAGGGTAAACCCCTCCCCGAAGGGGAAGGAGGGTTGAGAACAGAGCGGGCTCTCTAAACCACTCACGCCCAACGGGCTGGTGGGATTTTGTAGCGGTCGTCACTTTTGGTCCCCTCACGCCTGAATCGCGAAGAAGCCTCAAGCGGGAGCCTCGTTTATGAGTGAGTTGCGAGGAAGTCTCGGGCGGGAGCCCCCTCCCTATGGGGCCCGCGCTGCATACATGTAATCCGAGCGGGTCATGCGAAACCTAGACCTGTCGCCAATTTTGGGCTCCCGAGCCAGGCTTGAATCGTGAGGAGGTCTCAGACGGGAGCCTCGTTTGTGAGTGAGTCGCGAGACCCCCTCGATATGTGGCCCGAAGCTCCATGTGAGAATCCGAGCGAGCATTCGGGATCTCGTAGCTGTCGTCACTGTTGGGCTCCTCAGGAATGGACAGTGATGCGAGCCCTCGCGGGCCAATCCGAGCGGGGCCATTTTTGTTTTCTTAAGAGGGCCACTCGCTCGACCCATCAGATGAGGAGGCATCGGAGAAACAGGAATTGAGGAGGACGATGGCGGCCAGGCGCAGGGGAAAACCCTTGCGTCTGGGGCCGGGGTGGTAACCCATCCTCAGCCGAAGCGGGCGCAGGGCGAAACCCTTGTGTCCTGGCTGGCGGTGGTAGCCCATCATCAGCCGAATATGGCGCGGGGGGAAGCCCTTGCGTCCGGGCTGGCGGTGGTAACCATCGTCAGCCGAATCGGACGCAGGGGGAAACCTTTCCGTCCGGGCCAGGGGTGGTAACCCACTCCGTCTCCGATCATCTCCGTTCCTCGATCGACCTCCTTCCTCGATCGCCCTCCGTCCTCGATTGACCTCGCTCCTCGTTCCTCGATCGAGGTACGAGGTCGGTCGAGGATGACGACGACCACGACCATGATGACGGCGACGACGACGGCGGCGGCGGCGGCGGCGGCCTCGGCGGCGGCGGCAGCGGGGGCGGCGAGTTGCCTCGTTGGCGGCGGCGGGTGGCCTGCGGCTGGGCGCGGCCCGCGAGGTCCGCGGGCTCCATGGGCCCGCGCCTGCCGCCGGGACCCCCGCCTGAGCGCCTGCTCCGCCGGCCCGCGCGCCGCCCCCACAGCGCCGCTCTGCCGCCGTCACCGCCGCGGTTGTTGTCGCCGCCGCCGTCGTGGTGGTCGTCGTCGTTGTTCACGCCGTCGTCGCCGTCGTCGTCGTCGTCGTCGTCGTCGTCGTCGTCGTCGTCGTCGGGGTCACCAAACGGTGCGGTGGCCACACTGTGTTGCGAGCCAGTGGAGATTCGGGTTTTTTGGACGCTTTCGTCAGTTCCTGGGGAGGGGGGTCCTGCCTCGGGATGCGTTCCAGCAGGTGCGCTTCGCCGAGAGCGTTCCAAGGGTGCTCTTCTCGTCCCGATCGGCTGTCGGGGATCCGAGTTGTGAGCCAGAAGCGAAGCGTTCGGAGGAGGGCCGGTGTGGTGAGTCAGTGGAGATTCGGGGTGACCGCACGGTTTTTGGGCTCGATTCGTTCTCCGAGGACGTTTCGGGCGACTGGGGGCTCCAGGGTCCCAAAACGATACGGTCACAGACTTTGCGGTCTTGTCTTGGGGAATCCCAGGTCGTCGCACGATCTGTCACCGCACCGTCTTGGCCTTCAAGTTGTCGGCGCCGCGGTTGTCGCCGCCGCCATGGTCGTCGTCGTCGTTGTCTTCGTCGTCGTCGTCGTCGCTGCGATGGTGGTGGAGGCGGTGGTGGTTGTGGTCGTCTTCTCTTAGGAGAGGGGGGATGGACGAGGCCGTAGAGGATGTTGCGGAAGCAGGAAGAGGAAGATGAAGAGTGGGAAAAGTGAGGGAGGCAGAGGAGGGATAAGGTAGGATGGGGGGCAGGGAGGGAGAGGAGGCCAGGCTAGGTGTGCGGGCGCCGCATCTGACATCGTGCCCCTCTCACCTATCCTTTACCACTGCGTTGGGTCCTATTCTTTTCGCCGAGAGGGGTGTTCTAGAGGACGTTGATGCCCAAACTGCAGTTGCAGGATTTGACGCATCGCTCGCTGTGCAGTCGGAAGGTGTCTGTGTACATTGGAGTTAGAGGCGGAGGCGGATGAGCAGGAGCAGGAATAACGGTGATGAGCAGGACTAGGAGCATGAGTAGGAGGAGCAGGAGGAGAAGGCGGTCGGTGGGAAGGCCGAGAAGGGGAAACGATGGGGACGGTGATATCGAGGACGGAATCGGATCCAGGAGTGGAGGAGGAGGAGGACGATGAGGAAGAGGATGAGCAGGACGAGGATGAATGAGGAGTATGAGGATGAGGAGGATGAGGAGGATGATCAGGAGGAGGAGGAGGAGGAGGAGGAAAAGGAGGAAAAGGAGGAGGAGAGGAGGAGGCGGAGGCGGAGGAGGAGGAGGAGGAGGAGGAGGAGGAGGAGGAGGAGGAGGAGGAGGAGGAGGAGGAGGATCGAGCAGGTAGGCTCTGCAGGAGGATCGACCAGGACGGTGCCCCGCACCCAGGGCCGCCGCCGCCTCGGCGGCCACGGGCGCACCCCGGCAAGGCGCCTCCCCGCCGGGCCGCCTGTCCGCCCGCCTGGCTGCCCCCGCCATGCCTGGTCGTGGTCGTGGACGTGGTCGTGGTCGTGGACTTGGAAGTGGACGTGGTCGTGGTGGTGGTGGTGGTGGTGGTTGTCTTTGTCGTCTTTGTCGTCTTTGTCGTCGTCGTCTTTGTCGTCGTCGTCTTTGTCGTCGTCGTCGTCGTCGTCGTCGTCGTCGTCGTCGTCGTCGTCGTCGTCGTAGTCGTTGCTGCTCCATGCGTACCACGTACCTCGATTTTTCCTCCTCCTTCTTGTCCCTTCCTCGTGCCTCCCCTGCCTCCCTCCCAGTATCAATCCCTTCTCCTCGTCCTCCTCCCTCTCTCCCTCCTTCTCCCTCCTCCTTCTTCCTCTCTCTCTCTCCCTCCCTCCCCCTAGTCCCTCCCCACCTCGATCCCTCCTCCCGTGTCCATCCCACCAGCGCTCCTCCTTGCCCCTCTCCCACCCCGTCCACTCCCCTCCCCCTACCCCTCGCTCTCCCCCTTCCCCCTACCCTTCGCCCCTCCCCTTCGCCCCTGGCCCCCCCCCCTCCCCTCCCCGCGCCAAGCGCGCCGGCACCTCCCGTGCCCCCTCCTCTGGCCTTGCCGCCCGTCGCTCCCGCCAAGGAGCCCGCCGCGCCCCCCCCTCCCCCTTCTGGACCTCGACCGCCGACAGGAGGGGCGAGAGGAGGCCCCCGCGGGACATCCCGCCCCCCCCCGCCCGGGCGGGGTGCTGCGCCCCCCCCCCCGCCCGCGCGGGGGCCCGCGCCGGGCGTCCAGGCGGGGTCGCGTCCACCCCGCGGGCTCCAGCGCCTCCAGCCCCGCTCGGGGTGCGCTCGCGAGGCCCGCCTCCTCCCGCGGGAGTCCATTCCCCCCCTCCCCCCCTCCAGATCTCCTCCAGCAGGGGGGGAGAGGATATCGAGGACCCAGGAGGGGGATCGCACTGAGGTTCTCGGGCGTTTTTGTCCCTCTTGGGGCCTCCGTGTGCCTACGGAGGACTCCAGGGATACGTCCGGATGAGGGAGGAAAGAGGAACAAAAGGAAAACGTATGGAAATATCAGTCCTCGAACCTCGTGCCTGCCTCCTCCTCCCCCTCCTCGTCGTCGTCCTCCTCCTCCACCTCGCTTCTCCTCCTCCTCCACTCCTTGTCCTTATGAATAACTTCTCGCTATCGCACCCCGAAGCCAGTTTTTAGGGCGAGCAGAGGTTCACATATTGAGGGCGAGTCGTTTTCAAAATGTGGCTCTCGCCTCAGCGCCACGTGCATGTTTTTTCCGTGTGTTTCAAAACATGCAGAAGTTTCATGGGTTCCCATGGTCAACGTACCATAAGCGGTGTTTTGGAGCGATTCAGGGTTATGAGGGTACAGCAATTTCATTGATTCGTAGTGTTGAAGTCCCAGGAATGGCGTTCTGGCACGATTCAGATCGTCAATACGCGACAGTCAGGTTGATCCGTTGCGTTGGAATCCCGAGAACAATGTTTCGGCATGCTTCAGGGTCTTCACACGGTTGTCTTCAACGAGGCAGTTCCCTCGGTGGAAATGAACCTTTGTAGGGGCCGATGAAGAGGGAGCTCGGAGGGAGGGTTTATTCAAACATCGTTGGTGGCTCTTGGGTTTACACTGGTCCTCCTCCTCCTCGTCCTCCTCCTCCTCCTCCTCATCCCCCTCCCCCTAAGCTCCTCCTGGAGGACCGGGAAGACTCGCCTCTGCAGCTGCGCCCCGCGCACTCGGCGCAGCCCCCGGAGGCGCCGACGCCGCCGCGACGCCGCCACCGAGCACGAAGCAGATCGAGGCGTTTGCGAGCAGGTCGGGCCCGCCCGGGGGTGGGGCGCAGGCCTCTTTTGGGGACTTCACGCCGTTGCCGTCGTTCTCCTCCTCCTCCTCCTCCTCCTCCTCCTCCTACGCCTTCTGCCCCTCCCCCTCCCCTTCCTTCGCCTTCCGTCGAGGAACGAGCCACGATGACGATGGCCACGACCAAGGTGTCGCCTGCTTCAAGTCGTCGTCGCCGATTTTGGTCATGGTTCTCGGCCGATTCACGAGGATGATCCACGAAGTGCTGAGGACGAAATGGTCGATGACCAGGATCGTCACCGACGTTTTCGCGCTCAGTCTTGGTCATGGTCGCCGTTACCTTTCCCTCCATCTCTCCCCCCCTTCTGAGGTCCCGCGGCTCGGCAGGCCCCCGGGCCTCCGAGGGACGGAGCCCCGCCGATCTCGGCGGGCGGCGAGGAGGGGCGCTGAGATGTCTCTGGCCCCTTTCTGCCTGCGTCTATCCCCCGCCCCTTCCTCCACCCCCTGGCCTGCCTCCCTTCTTATTGCCATTCCTTCCTCCCCCCTTCCTCCCTCGCTATCGCTCTTCGATTCCCTTCCACCCCCCTCCCTTCCCCCTTCCTCCCTCTTCCTCCATCCCCCTCCTCTTCCTCCCTCCCTCCCTATGGCCCCCCCGCAGACGTGTCGGTAGGGCGGGCTGGGTTTCGTCTAAGGCTTCCTCGCCGCTTCTGAGCCAGAAGCTTAAGATCTGCAGCAGTTTCAAGGATGGAGGGGGGTCCGTTTTCAAAATGTTCCTCTCGCCTTAGCGCGCGTACATTCGTTTTGAAGTGTGTACCAGTGTCGAGGATGGAGGTCGAATCATTTTCAAATTGCGATTCTGTTCTTAGCAGCGAGCACATCCGTTTTGAAAGTCAGCAGCAGTTTCAAGGATTCGTGTGGCTAAAGGCCCACAACTGGTGTTCTGGTACGATGGAGGGTTGTCAGGACGCAGCAGTTACGTTAATTCACGGTGTTCAAGTTCCAGGAACGAAATTCTGGCAAGATTTCAGGATTGCCAGGACGCAGCAGTCACGTTATTTTGGTGTTGAAGTCCCATGCATGGTTTTCTGAGACGGTTTAGGATTCTCAGACAGCTTCCTTCCAATGTTACACTGCCCGTAATGAACGTGATTTCTAGTAGGTTCCTATGAAGAAGGAATTTGGAGGGACGTTTTATTGCAACATCGTTGATGCGTCTTGGGTTTACACTGGTCCCCATCCTCCTCCTCCTCCTCCTCCTGCGCTTCCTCCTCCTGGTCCATCTCCTCTTTCTCCTCATCCTCCTCCCCCTCCCCCTCCACCTCCACCTCCCCCTCGACCTCCTCCTCCTCCTTCTCCTCCTCTCTCTCGCATCGCTCCAAAGCGATCCCACTGACCAAGCACCTGTAGCAGGACCTGAACAAGGCCCCGAACGTTGGTCCAGCCTGCCCGTTCTGGAGGAGAGAGGGAAGGAGAGGGCGGGCTCATTTCCACACCCGATGAACGCAAAGGATGTAGAAGGGGAGTGAGGCTGTAGTGCCTCTCAGTCGATGGAGCCGTGTCGTGAGTACTCCGGCGCGACGGCCATGGGAGTACGCCCTCCCTGCCTCCAGGACCCTGTGGGCGTGACAAAAATCATTTTCGCACCCCAGGACCCCGAGGAGGAAGCACGCAGCGCACCAGAAACCAACAGCGCCCCAGAAAGATACGCGCGAACCGAGTTTATCTTCACGTCATCGAAGGCGGTCTCAAAGGCGGCACGCAACTGGCTGGTCAACGGAGCGCAGGTCTACAGAGCGAAGTGTTGCGGCCTACGCGAGGTGAGCGGGCCTCACAGCTGTCACAACTCCTGTGGCTACCCTGGCCTCTAAAGTGGCCCTTCACGTATGAGCAGGTCTCGTAGTGGCTGTCGGAGTCATGCAAATTGCGCTTGCCCTTGCCCTTGCCCTTGCCTTTGCCCTTCAGTTCCAGGGCCCGCCTGCTGGCGCCCTGGAAGTAGCAGACCTCGCTGTCGCATCGCGGCGGCGCATGACGCCCCGGAGTCGTCGCTTGCCAGATCGCAGTACTCCGCCGAGTAGGTGACGTCCCCCTCGGTACCTTTCCTCCTGCTCCCCGTCGCTCTCGTCGCTCTCGCCGTCGCGCTCGCCTCCCTTCCGCCGTCGCGGCAGCTCCGCGGCGGAGAAGGGCCTGGGCCGCTGGCCGGCGGGGAGCTGGTCCTGGTGCGACTCGTCCTGGTCGCGGGCGGACGCGGAGCGCCTTGGTGGCTGCGGAGGGGCCGAGCGCTCGGACGCTCCTCGTCCCCCGCCCTCGCGGTGGCTGCCGGAGCTCGTGTTCGGTGGGGCGTGTCCCTCTCCAGGAGGAGTATGCGAAAATAGTCAAAGATTAGTCCGGGGACGATTTTGTTCACTATTTTTGACCATCGGGGGGTATTTTTGGAGTGTTCTTTATTTTTCGTCCAAAATCCGCCTAAAGCCCGTGTCTGTGGGCACGATCGTTTCGTGGCGCATGTTCTGAGCGGGCTTCGTGAGCGTGGCGACGGCTCTGCTGGCGAACTGCTCCTTGATGCCCTCCCCCTCGCCGTGCACAGTCCCGAGGAAACGCAGCCTCTCTAGCACGGCGTACGCGACTGTGATGGGATCGTTCTGCTCGTCTCGCCCCTCGTCCTCCTGCTCGTGCTCTGGATTCGCCTTCTCGTACTCGTACTCCTGATCATCCCATTCGAGTTCGGTCGAGTCCAGCTGTGGCGACGATGTGGGGGACCTTGGCGACGTAGCCTGCAGGCCAAGGTTTGGGGTGCCGCCTCGAGGGGGATACCCGTCTTTCAGGATAGGAACAAAAACACACAGACACAATTAATCATCGATTCCCAGAGAAATGTGGGATAATGTGGGAAGTATATATATATATATATATATATGTATCTAAGAAGGTGGGGAAACGGGAATCCAGAAAATATGGAAAACTATAAGGAATCCTAGGATTGTGTCTATTTATTTGGGTGTCCCTGGGCTCTTTGATCTTAACTTTATTTTTAGGGCTTCTGCCTGGGTCTACCTCGGGTTGAGGCGCCTGTGGGGGCAGGGGATGCGCAGCTCGCCTCGGGTTGAGGCGGCCGTTGGGACAGGGGATGCGCAGCTCGTAGCTGTGATTCTCCCTCCCATGCTTCTTCTATTCTCTGTGAGCAAGCTCCTGCTGTCTCCGCAGCTTCTCTGCCCAGGGCGCCCCCCCATCGGCCGCGCGTGCGGGCGCCTTATGCAGGCGGTCGTACAAGCGGCTCTCGGGGGCGCTGGGGAGATCTTCTTCAGGGGGCTGCGGGCCGCGCTCTACGAGCGGCTCGTGGCTGCCCCCTTCTCTGTACTCCAGGACCAAGGGCCTCCTGTGCCTGCTTGGTCCATCCAGCAGGCGGACTCGTCTGAGGGCGAGGGGGCTTTCTGCCCCCTCCCCTCGGCGGGTTCTGCCTGCCCCACCGTCTGCCTCGGGCTGGCGGTGGATCTGAGCGGCGGGGTCTCTCCCTGGCTGCTCAGCACGGTCGTCGCCCTTCTCTGGGTGACGGCCGCGTGCAGCGCCTGCGCAGGCTGCTGCTTCGGGCTGTGGGGCCCGTACGTGGGGCGGAGGCTCAGGGCTTCCGCCTGGCCGCGCGGTGCTGGTCCTGCTTCGCTGGAGCAGGACCGCCGCGCGGCGCGAGCGCTGGCCTACGGGGTTCCGCCTCGGCCCCGAGCGCTCGAGCGGGCTGACGCCCAGCATTCGGGCGCCAGCTCCCACAGCAGCGCCCATTGATGGCTGAGCTGCCACCAGTTGGCGGAGGGCCTCTCTGGCCCGAGCTCTACCCATTCGCAGCTCCCACGGCTCGCGACTACGCACGATGGCGCCTAGACGAAGGCGACACCAGCTGGGCAGCTATCCCCCTCGCGTCTCGGGAAGGGGGCATACTTCTGGCCCTGCCTGGCGCCTTTCGCTCTTCGGCGGAGCTCGAGGCTGCCGAGGCGGGTGGCTTTACGGGAATGCTAGGCCCTTTTCAGCTGGTGGACATCCAGCTCCTGGGTGCCGCTTCACGGCCGCTCGCCACTACCGCATCCGTCCTCGTCATAGATATCGAGGTTGCAGAGCTCGAGCTCGAGTCGCTTTACCCTCTGGAAGTCGGCGCGGACGCTGGCATCGTTCCCTTCGCCGAGGTGCGCGGCCGCGTCTACTGGCCACATCCTTCGGGGGTTCGGGTGCTTCGCGAGGGCTACGCACGCTTGCACGGCGCTCCTCCTACCGCAGGGGAAGAGCCGCTCCCAGGGGCCGATCGAGCTACTCCCTATCAATCCGCCGACGAGATGGAGGAGCCCGAGGGGTTCGCGGCCGATGGGGAAGCCGACCGCACGGTCCCAAGTGCGCGGTTCCCTGCGGACGCTGGAGTCCCACGCGGCCCACCCGCGAAGCGCGCAGCCACCGCCGTGCCGCCCAGGGTCGCGGGTCCCACTCCGATCGCTCCTGGCGCTCCCGCGGCGTCCCTGGACGACGGGGCCCCTATGACCCGTGCCGAAGTAGCTGCCGAAATGCGCGCCTTGCTTGCAGCTCACGGGGCCTCCCCGATGGTCGGCGGCCCCGAGCCGCTGGGCTTCGCTCCAGCTGCCCGGGGCGAACGGCCCGAGGTGCCCCAACTTTTCAGCGACGAAGCGGTGCGCCTCGGGCTGGATCCTGCGGGGATCGAGGCCGTCCTGTCCCACGCGCCCGTGGCCCCACAGCGGGTCTCCGCACGTCCCAAGGGCCCGACCTCCGCGCTGGTCGCGGCGTGGGAAAAGGCGCGCTCTCTTGCTGTTCCTCGAGCCCCTACCTCGGGCCTCGGAACGATGGGTCCCCCGCCGCCACCTGGGCTAGCCCATCCCGCTGTGGCCGACGGCTTTGCCGAGGCGGGCGGCGCCGACGGGTCAGAGCTCCCCCATGCAGCCAATCAGACGGACTTCAGCCTCATGCTACAGTGTCTGCACCAGTCCCTCCTATTGCAGCAGGGGCGGGGCCATCGGCCCACCGTCCACCCGCTTCTGGGGAC